TCAATAATGTTGCGATAAACTCTAGCAACCATAGTAACAAAATCATCGTCAGCATGAATTACGTTTTTGAACGGAAAAACGTTCTCAAAAAATATGATATCCCGGCTGCTGTAAATATTAAGTTTTTGTATATCAAAAACTCGGTAAGCTTTTTGCCCGTTGGGATATCCAATAAAAATACATGGACTCCCCCTTTCGCTGAATTTATCCTTTCTTTTATTATCATGAGCATAGACCAAACACCCAAATACCCGTAAGTGAGCGTAGCTGGGGACCTTTCCAAATAATACCTCATAGGGACTTTTATTGTTAATGATGGGAGACGGCAGTCTATTGATGAGGTAAACAGCAGTGAGGATGCACTCCCCCCAAAAATTAATGGGAAGACCAGACTGGAAGCGAAGAGCTCTGGCAACTTCTAAAATATGACGATGTTTGCGTTCCACTACTCCATTCTGTTGTGGTGTGTCGGTACAAGAGGTTTCAACTATTATTCCATTTTGTTTATAGAATTCTAGTAAAACCTCAGTCTGAAATTCCATGCCATTATCGGAACGCACACGTCTGACCTTTTGCTCAAACTGGGTTGTTACCATATTGTAAAATTGTATTAAAAGTTGGGGGACCTCAGATTTATTTTTCATAAGATAAACCCAAACGCCGCGAGAAAAGTCATCGACGATGGTGAGGAAATAACGAGCACCGGTTATAGAATCACATTTGTAACCTCCCCAAATGTCACAATGTATTAATTCAAAACAGTGTGAACTTTTATTCATACTAACGGGAAAAGGCAAACGAGACTGCTTGGCTCGTAAGCAAGGATCACAGAAATCATAATTTTTCTTAAGCCCCTGAAGAGATGAGATGTAGTGCAATTTTCCATCTGACGCATGTCCCAGACGCTGATGCCATAATTCAAAGTCTTGAGTAACTGACATTGCCACCCCTGCTCTCCTAGGAGTGTTGAGATAATATAGACCGTCACGAAATTTACCCACTCCAATCAGCTTCATCGAGGGTAAGTCCTGTAAAATACAAAAATCCCGAAAAAATGTGAGTGTACAGTTGAAGTCACTAGTAAGGCGACTAGCTGAAAGTAAGTTGCATTTAAATTGTGGAATATATAAAACGCGTCGAAGGTATAGTCCATTGGGTAAATATAGACTTCCAACTGCATGGACTGGCACTGATTCTCCATTTGGAATTTTGACGGATGGCTCAGTTGGTGTAGTAAAAATATTTACTAGACCATCACCTTCACACGTTATATGTTCGGTTGCTCCAGAGTCAATAATCCAAGGATAAACATGTGACGATGTGGCTGCCATGTTTGCCCGAGTAGTAGATGAGGAAGATTGATCAACCGATTGGTCAACAAATTTTTGTTTCATGTACTGCGCAAGCTCCTCCAATTGGTTGGCAGAAAGTCCATAATTAGAAGTGAGACTTCCTTCTACGTGGGCAGCTTTTGGGTGGCCTGGGTGTTGAGTGATCCTTCGAGTAGCACTAGGAGCTTGTTGAGCATGCATGTGAAAACTACCACGTGGCTGAGCAGTAATTTGTAATTCTTTAACTCCTTTTCCTTTTGTATTCCAACTTGGTGGGTAACCATGCAATTCAAAGCAATTTTCATGAGTGTGGTTGGTCCTCCCACAATGAGAGCAGTGACGGCCAACTTTGGAGGTGTGGCGGCGACTCAAATTAATGTCCTTCCCGGTATGAACTTGGAAGACTGAACCATCAACAGTTGGTTTGCGGGCCGATGCGATGGATCGGTGTTGCTCGCTCTCCGAAATGAGGTGATAGGCAGCGGTAAGTGAGGGGACCGGTCTTGTGGCAAGAATTTGAGTTTTTAGTTGGGCGTAGACATCATCCAATCCCATTAAAAAATCATAGAGGCGATCTCTATCTCTAGATTCATTGATTTGTTTAGATAGATTGCATGAGCATCCTTTGCAAGTACAACTTGGACCAGTGTTGATAGAGGCAATCTCGTCCCAAATGCGACGCAACCGGCTAAAATATGCCGAGATGGACTGGTTGTCTTGTCTAACGGCACTAAGTGAGCAACGGAGTTCATACGCACGTGGAGCGCTCTCCTTTCCAAATCGTTCTTTCAAATCAATCCAAATCTCGCGTGCCGTTTTAAATTTAACACTTTGTCGAAGCTCGATTTCCATGCTTCCGTTCAACCAAGCTTTAACCATGGCATTTGCACGTTGCCAATATGGAAGGTATGGTGACTCCGGTTTGGGCATCGGAAGATCCCCATTGACAAAACCAAACTTATTTTTCGCATAGAGGGCATTGCTCATTTCATCGAGCCAACCGTCATAGTTTCCATCACGAAGAGGTGTAGTAACATAGATATCTCCGGGCTTATCTCCGGATTGAATAAAATATGGTGACATTGAATCTATTACGATGCCGGTGGTTTCAAGGCCGGCATCACTAATTTTATCGCCGTCAACCATGGGTAGGGATGATATGTGTATGTTTCAAAGGGATAGATTAAGATGTATTTTTCCAGAATTTCGGCTCTGATACCATGATAAAACTGATAGTGCTAAACGGGGAACACAAAATGATATATTGGGAAATAATGATGCTCATATATGAGCTACAAAGCAAATGGCATGTTTACATACGTAAAAAGGCTTACTTCTTCTTTAGGAGAGAGGCCATATATATACATGTTCTTTATGCAAGTGGAATACAAGAAGTATGGGCTTATGGGTCCCACATTAATTATTTAGTGGTAAGAGGTAAGTCTTAATAGGCTTGTGGCGTCAAATTGAGGCCACCATCATTGGGTTTGGTTTTTCTGCCTATATTGATGGTACTATGGACGCCCCACCTCATTTCATTGACAAAGATCATAAATCTCCTAATCCTCGGTACCAAATCTAGTATCGCCAAGATCAGATTCTCGTTAGTGCTCTTCTCGGTAGTTGTATTGAGAACGTTCAACCACTCATCGCCTCTGCTGTCACGGCTAAGCATGCCTGGGACACCATTTTAGCGAGTTATGCTCAATCTTCTCCTGGACGGATTCTTTCTCTTAAAAGCAAACTTGCACGCAATCCCCGTGGTAATCGATCTATTCCCGATTACTTAAAAGACATGCAAAACATTGCCGATGATCTTGCTTTAGCTAAATCTCCCGTGTCTGACACTGATTTGATCATCTCCATTGTCAATCAACTTGGCAATGACTATCAAAGTATTGTTGCTGCCCTTCGGGTACGTAGTACTACCACTTCAATGTTAGAGCTCTCTGGTATTTTGACACATCATGAACGCATGTTGCAAGAGGAGGTTGTTGCCTTTATTATCTTACCCATGGCCTACATCTCTCAGTGTTGTCGCCCTGTGCCAGAATTTCACAATCACGCAGGGCGTGATAACACCAATACTCATGGGAGGTATCCTCGTCGTAGTGGGCAGCGTGATTCTTCTAGTGGTGGGAGCCGGCCCGGCCTCATTTGCATGTTTTGCAGTTTTCCCGGCCATATTGTCCGTGAGTGTCGCAAATTGGCTCGTTTCCTCCGGGATCATCAAATCTCCTCTCTGGCTCCTACACCTATGGTTCACAGCACTAGTGTCCAACCATCTCCAGTTAATCCTTCTAAATGGATGTTCAACAGTTGCACTTCCCACCATGTTACTTCTGGTGTTGATTCTCTACACAGCTTTTCTGGTTATGATAGGCCTGGTGAGATAAGTTGAGGTAATGGTAAAACTCTACCCATCTCTCACACTGGTCACACAACCATTCTCACATCTACTCATCCCCTGGCTCTTAATTATGTGTTATGTGCACCCAAACTTCGTACTAATCTTGTTTCTATTTCCATATTATGTCAAAATAACAACGTTTCAGTTGATTTTTCCCTCTTTTCTTTCCTGTTAAGGACCAACGAACGGGGAGTCCTCTTCTGCGGGGTGAAAACATTAATGGGATTCATTTTTCTCCTGGTTGTCGTCCACAGATTCAATCCATCGGTTTGTGTACCATGCACCACACTCTCGATCATCCATCTAATAAAACTTTAGCTGCTATTATACGTTGTTGTAATAAATCAATAAATTCTCACTCCCTTCGTGAGTTTTATTGTACCTATCGTGACATTAATAAAAGTCATAAGTTATCATTTCATGATAATTCTTTATCTAGTTCTCGTCCTCTTGAATTAGTATATACTGATGTATGGGGCATTAGACAAGTTTCATCTGATGGATACTTACACTATGTTATTTTTGTGGACCACTACACTAAATATAGCTGGTTATATCCACTTAAACAGAAATTTGACGTCTCTATAATTTTTCCTCAATTCAAACGATTAGTTGAGCACTTTTACAATCATGAAATCAGTACAATTTTTTCTGACAATGGTGGCGAATTCATCAAACTTCATCCCATTCTCAACCTGTCTGGCATCTCTCACCTTGCATCTCCTCCTCATACACCTGAACACAATGGTACCATTGAACGGCGACATCGTCATATTGTGGAAACATGACTCTCTCTTCTCCATCAAGCATCTCTACCTATCACCTTGTGGCCTCATGTCTTCCAAACAACAGTCTATTTAATTAATCGTATGCCCACCCCCATCCTCCAAAATGTGTCACCCTTTTTGCTCTACATAAATGCAGCCCCAATTACAATAAATTGCAATCATTTGGATGTCTATGTTTTTCGTGATTACGACCCTATACTGATCACAATTTACAACCAAGATCGGTCGAGTGCATTTTCTTGGGCTATTCTACTACTCAATCCGCCTATAAATGTTTTGATCCCATCACCAATAAATTGTATATTTCCCGACATGTACGCTTTATTTCCCATGTATTTTCCAACCCTAAGCTGCACTTTCTCTCACCCCATAACACATATCCTAATTTTACTCTTACAAATTCTCAAATCTCCACGTACAGTACTTTATCACATGTCGATACCACTCTTCCCATGACACCTCCTATTCCACAAACACCTTTGGGGCCTCTTCCTGATACCTCCCAAGACATCTCACCTCCCCCCTTGACAAATCTTCCATCCCATACTACATAACCCCATGTCCCTATGCGATGAGTCGTCATCCTCATCTTATATATCCTATTCTGTCTCCCTCTTCCCAGCCTCCCTCGGCTACCAATTCTATTTCTCCACCTAATTTAACTCCAACTTCCTCACCCTCTGTTCTGTATGCTAGACCAACTCATCACTGTCATCCCAATCCACGTTATTTTGGTATGTCCTTTGTTAACAACTCCACACTTCACCCCACTCCTGCCACTCTTGAACCCCGTACCATTACCCAAGCATTGGAAGACCCATTATGGCGGAAAGGAATGGACGATGAATACTCCGCTCTCTTACAGAATCAGACATGGGAGCTTGTTCTACGGTCACACCATTCTACTATTGGGTGCAAGTGGGTATTTCGCATCAAACACAAGTCGGGCGGCTCAATTGATCGGTACAAGGCCCGCTTAGTGGCCAAGGGATACTTTGAAGAAGTTATTATTTTGATACCTTTAGCCCGGTAATGAAGCCTGTGACGGTTAGAATCATTCTCACTCTTGCTCTTCACAATCATTGGTCCCTTCGCCAACTAGATACCAATAATGCGTTTCTCAACGATACCTTACATGAGGAAGTATACTTGGATCAGCCATCGGGGTATTCTAATCCCCAATTTCCATCACATGTTTGTCATCTCTGCAAGGCACTGTACGGCCTCAAACAGGCCCCTAAAGCGTTGTACACTGTGCTCTCTAATTTCCTGATTGGTTTTGGTTTCAGGAAATCCCGAGCTAATGCTCCACTGTTTTTATTTATGCTTCTCATGGAGTTGTTATGTATTTTTTTGTACATGTTGATGACATTGTTTTGACAGGGAATGATACTCCATTTATTGATCAGTTTGTCTCTCTGCTAGCTCAACGATTTTCATTGAGAGATATGGGCATGCTCAGTCACTTCTTAGGTATGGAATTAATACCCACTTCAGCGGGTCTCCTCCTATCCCAATCTGAGTATATCACAGAAATTCTGTCTTAGTTTCACATGGATGGTGCGGGACCTGTGTCTACTCTAATGTCCTCTTTTGACAAGCTTCCTTTGGTTAATTCCTATGCTGTTGTGGACACATCCGATTATCGTCGTCTCCTTGACCTTCTTCAGTCCCTTAGCCTCACACGACCTAATGTTTCATATGCCACCAATTGGCTCTCTCAACACATGCATAGCCCGGTTGCTGCTCATTGGTTGGCTGCTAAGCGCATTCTCCGTGACCTCAAAGGTTCCACATGTCATGGGCTATTACTTTGTCCAGGCAAGTTCTTATCAATCTCAGCGTTTGCAGATGCCGATTGGGGCGGCTTGGGCACCTCTGGCAAGTCCACCACTGCATATGTCGTTTATTTTGGTTCGAGCATTGTCTCCCGGAAATCATCACTTCACAAATTGGTGTCTCGCTCTTCCAACGAAGCTCAATATTGTGCTCTTGCCAATGCTAGTGCTGAGGTGTTGTGGATTCAAAATTTTCTACGTGATATTGGTGTTGTCCCCTCTTCAGCTCCATCCCTTTTCTGTGATAACCTAAGTGCTACATACGTTTGCAAAAATTCAGTTTTTCATTCCGAAGTGAAGCACCTCAGTTTGGACTATTTTTTTTGTTCGAGATCTAGTCGCTGCTGGACTACTTCATGTTCATCACGTTCCTTCCAAAGCTCAATTGGCAGATGTTCTGACAAAACCTTTAGGACGAGCTTTATTTTTGCATTTTCGGCCCAAGATTGGAGTCTCTGATGGATCCTCCATCTTGTGGGGGCGCGATAAGGAAAAACATTAGTTTATTATTTATTCTCATTTATTTTTACTTATCATACTGTTGTGTAGATAATTTTCTTAACTGTATTAGATAAGTCTAGATAGGTATCTATTAGGTAAAGTTTGACTACAATTGTTATTCTTCCTATGTGTATAAATAGTGTTGTGCTGCTATGAATAAAATACACAAAAACCTTTTCTTTACAATTCTAAAGTCTACTCATCCTTCCCCTTCCCTCAAAAATCTAACTCTCAAACATACTGAAGTAAAAGACATCTACATTGTCAAAAGTGTCATTCTCAAAATGCTCAGTCGTATGTAGCAACTTCACCAATCACTTTTGCAATTTGTCCATCTCACTCAATCACAAGTGGGATTCTATGACATGCATTTTCATCATGTTATTTTCATTCCTTTTTATCCTCCACATTTATTCCATCCTCTTCTCTTTGCTTCTCAAAGTTCTCATCTTGAAATGCTTGTGTTTTCTCACTATATTATCGTGACCATCTTCTCCCATCCTCATTTGCGTGATATCCTACACTTCATTCTATAACTTCTTTGTCATTCTTTTTTCATTTATCTTTTCTCTTCTTTGGTTTCTTTGAATTTCTTTCCATTTAGGTTTTAACATGCTTCATCGGGGGCGTAGCTCACCCGGTAGGAAAAGGGTGCCGTAAGGGAGAGATTTCAGATTCAACTCCAAGCAATAACTTAGAATGGAACCTCACTCTATAACTATCGGTATGTGATCAAAGCTCAGTTTACATCCAACTAAATAATTGTCCTATCGGTTCTAGGGGGCCCTCATGGATGATTGTCATCCTTTTTTTGGTAACATTTTAATTCTTCTTCCCATCTGTTTTATCTTCTCATCCGATCCATTGATGTTATCCTTTTCAATATATACATTCAGCTACTAACAGTTTTGATGTTCATTACATATAACGGGTTTTACAATTGGTGATGTATGTATTTTATTAGATCGAGAATTATGCTATTAGTTGCAAAAGCGTAATCCGTAATATGTATACTTATACAATTTTGAACACAGGAGACATATATGAGATTATACCATTAAGATATAAACATATTTAATGAGGGTATGGAATACAACATGAAATTGAAACTGAAGAGAACTAATAAGAGACCCTCCAGAGGACATTCATCATTCGTCTTCAGTTCATATCTATAGCTCATCATAACTTTCATTATTGTCACAGTCGGCCACCATTATTACTTTAATTAACCGTATCCGCGTTCTCTTTTTTCTCACCATTCCCGGCGGCACCATGGATGGCGAGTTTTGGTTTTTTTACATGCACATAGTCGGGGTTGTAATCTACGTCGGGCCAATTGTCATAGTCATTGCCGTTGTCGGTGGGTATAATATGGAATTGCTTAGAAAAGCGGGTCCAATCATGGGGACTCTTTTCACACGGCTTGTGTCCGCTAATCCTCATAAACTGCCCACAATCTGTTATATAAATGCTTAACTGCTCATTTGTGAAGCCTGCATGAAAAGTATTTATTCTTTCATTATCTAGCTAATGTAGATAATAAATACTTCATTTGTCCCGAATTAAATTTCTACTTGCGAATTTTAAAGTTCACTCACGATTAAGTTAAATCATCTTTACTGATCAGTTTTAATAATTAAAAGTTACATATTTGGATCCTACATTGAAATTTGCTATTAAGTCGCAGAATCATAATTAGACTATAATAATGACATGCTAAATAAGCACACTAAGTGATCAAAACTGTTGACAACAAAAAAATTGACTTTGCAAATCATTTTGGGACAGAAGGAGTATTGGGTATTTGGTATTAGTTTAGAGTTGCTTTGCAATACAAATATACTCTCAAACTATACACCGAAAAAAGATATTATGCATGTATACTAATAAAGTAAGAACCGTGGAGCGAGGTTGAAATAGTAATATTTTCTTCAAAAGGTAAAGAACGGTACCCGGTAAATGAAGTTGAAGAGTACCATCATCCTTCCATTCACATTTTGGATCAATATCTAGGTAACAGTTACCTAAGAGTGGTAATGAATTATGGGAAGATAAATGAGTGAACAGCCCGACCATAACACGAATTAGATGGTTTTTGGGCGGCCATAATTGGATTTGGGCATGTTGCAATGTCTCATTTACATTATTTCTGGGGAGTTTTGTTAGCTTTATATTAAGAATGGTTTCGGTATAATCTAATATCCCAATAATGTTCTTCAAATCTGATAAGTTGTAATAAGAATCAGAAGGGAATGTGAATATTTTTCTAAATCGGATCCACTTGTAGTCCTCTGCCTGCGCATGTCCACTGATCACAATGTATCCTCTTTCATGTGTTGTTAATACAATATTCTTTGTCTGAAAGCCTGTATGTAAACATGCATATATGTAATAGACTCAAATTTAATAAACATGTTTAATATATATGTGTGTGTGTGTGAGAGAGAGAGAGTCTCGTTCGAGTCAGGAGCTCCTGATCGGAACTGCCATGCGAAGTTCACTGTTTGGATGCTTCTCGGTGGAATTTTTTGATAAAATTTTTGAGCATGTTCTTCATCAAGTCTAATTTATACATACCAAATTTCAGCTCAAATATCAATCAGTAAGGCAGTTAAATAAATTCTTGTAACATACTAGGCTTTATATATGTACATAATGCGCAGTATGTTTCAATAATTTAGTTAACCGTGTTCCCGATTGAATTTTGAGACGAAATTTTGTATTCATAAACTAGACTTGATTAAAAACATGCTCAAAAAAATCATCAAAAAATATCACCGGGAACCACCCCAAACAGTGAATTCTGCACGGCGGTTCCGGTTAGGAGCTCCTGATATGAACGGGACTCATATATATATATATATATATATCTTCTTTTTAGTTTCAAATTCTAAAAGCCAACATTTGTTGATATTGACTTCGTTTGTTTTTCAGCGGGTGGGTAGCAAACCGCTGCATTTTGCAGCGTTTTGATGTGTTAATTGATTAGCGGTTTGCTCCATCCGCTGTCATCCAAACGACACCATTGTCTTAAACTTTGTCGGGATGTTTGTTGTTAGTCATGTACCGTATTTATTTAAAGAATTGTCTTAAATAGGGATACAAATGTTTGTGAAATACCAGATTTTAAACATGATAATGTGAATACTACTCCTGTTTGTATTACTTGAATAGTGTAGTAATAGTTACTGCTATGTTTTGGCATTACACATTTTAAATATGACAGTATTTTTTAAATTTTACAGTAATTACTCATATTTAGTTAATATAACATAATACTCTCAAAATACAACTTATTTAGTTCTATTAAAAGAATAAAAAATATGAGACTACGAGTCATGTTTTGAGAAGAAAATGATGATAATCTCATTTGAGTAAATGTACTATGAACTAAGAGAATTTTCTCTAAATTCATTTGAAGGAATTATAAAACGTCGTTTCCTTTCAAAAAAAAAACTTACGCCGTTTTAAATGAAGGATAAGAGTATGAGTTTCGGGCTCGTTCAGGAGTTCACATTTGAGATTATTATCCAAATCTTCATAGTTGTAGGCCGCAGGTGCAGGAGCCATTTTGTGGGAGTAGTCATCTTCCCCGATTGCTTCCATTTTATTCCCTTCAATTCTTGCCTTGTTTTCTTTAACTGCTACTAGTTCTGGGAATATGGGTGTGACTGCTTTGATGCATATATTCTTTTATTAATAGGAAATATATATAGTTTGATTTTGGGATTTATTTAGAAGAAAATGAACAGCAAAATGATGCTTCACTTCCTTTGCACACAAGATATATACCTTATTTGTGTAGAAAAACTTTGGCCTCTAGCATAGTGAAAGATAAAACTAGTGTATTATATGAAAATTGTTAACGTAGTTCCTGTCATATTATAGCTCCTAAGTATTATTTAATAATTAAAAAGAGTTTCCAATCAACAAGTAAAGTATGGTATATCTTAAATTAAGGGTAATTTGATTTGATTTTTCTTTTACCCTTAACTTTTAAGACTATTTACACTACTATTTAAGTATTTAAAATGCTAAAAAATTGAATTTTTAAAGCTACAATACGAATTATATACTAGTATTATGCTATTATAAAAACTATATCTGTGAGAGTAAAATACACACAAAATATCAATTCATACATAATCAGATTTAATCAAACCTGATCATTCAGACTAGACTAGACCATACTAGTTCAGACCAAATCAAAATAATCTCATCCAAAAGAACCAAAAATAAATTTTAATATAATTGGCTTACAACAATATGAACATTTTCAACACAAGCCACCATCAACTTATAACATATGATATGGATACGCCGATACGTGAATACGAGTACGGCGATACGGAAATTTCAAAAATTGTAGGATAAGGGTACGGGGATATATATCTATAAATAATAATAATAATAATAATAATAATAATAATAATAATAATAATATAGGGTATAATTTGTAAATACATATAATTTAGAGGTTCATAAATAAAATAATAATACCAAAAGTTAACATTTATAATAAAATTTCAAAGATTAGACGAAAAAACTAAATTACTGATATTTCGATTTAAATTCAAATAATATTTTTGATTCTCTATTTGTTAAATCTCACACCGAAAATGTTTGAGTCAATGAAGTGTTATATTAAGACATTGGATACTCATCCTATCAGGTTGACCTTTTAGGATGGAACTCAGGTCTTAACATGATATCAAAGCCAAATCGATCAATGGTGTGGGCTCCTTATGAAAAATGATTGACACGATTATAAAAAAAATGAAGGAATTTTATCAATTCAGGACCCGAAAGATAGATTAATTATCAATTCAGGACCTGAAATGTTTGAGTCAATGACGTGCTATATTAAGACATTGGCTACTCCTCCTATCAGGTTGACATTTTAGGATGGAACCCGAGTCTTAACACTATTTGCATTTGCATCTAAGTCTTTTAACAAGATTGATTTCAACTAAAACTAATCAAGCGACAAGTTAATAAATCATAGTATTCCAATATTTTCCATACTCCTGAAATCATCTTTACCAATATTCCACATCTTGTGGTCGCTTGGGCATCTACTAAATTTTCGTTATATCGTGTATGGAATTAGGGTTATAGGGTTATATACGCGTATCGGTTCACGGATACGGGTATCAGAAGTATTTACATTTTTAAAAATAAGTCCAATACTTTTATTAAATTACAGATACGGACACAATACATACAAGGTGTGTATTCGTGAGTATCGATATTGGATACATATCAGATACGTGAATACAGCATCAGGATGAAGTATCGGTGCACCATAGGTGACACCGTGACAGTTGATAAGTCCGTTTTCCAGCACACTTTAATGTGTGGAAGAAAATCATTTGTACACATTCCTAGTGTAAGTTTGCACTATTTGTCTAATATTTCATTTATTATATTTGGCATGGGTCTGAAGGACATTTATGAGGTTTAAGATGAAAAATAACTCAAGATAGAATTTGGATACGAAGGAGAGTTGCATCCCGAAAACGCCTATTTGACTCACTGCCCACCATAACTCGCAACTTTGAATCAAGATGACACTCTGCAAGTATAATTAGTTGATACATTTACAAATAAAGTGTTCTTAAAATAGAATGAGCTGTGGTAATAGTCAAACTGTTGTAACAAATGAAGACCGGAGTCCGGAAGTGGTTTTAGTTAAATACGAAGTATAATAAATATGATTGCAAGTGCATACATATTTTAATATTACAATATTACTAATTGTATAATAAAGTGCATACATATAATAAATATGGTTTTAGTCATTCATGGTGATTATAATTGTTAAAATATTAATTAAATATTACTAATGGTGAAATATACTATTGTATATTGTTTTCCCCTCTAGCCTCTCTCTCTCTCTCTTAAACCAAGCAAGCTCATATCAAAGTCATCCCTTTCCTTTATTATCTCCAAAAAGAGGAATATTACTACATCAAAATCACTTCCCTCCCTTCCCTTCAATTTAAAATCTCCCCTGAAGTTTGAACCAAACAAAGCTTAAAGACCAAGTCACTTTTGGCAATTTACTACAGATTTCGTTAATATAAGAGACATTTACTTTTTTAACACAATTGAGAATGAAAGAATAAAACATGTGATGCAGTTTCTACAGACTGATCAATTGAAATGAGGCATCAATATGTTATGTATTGATCAAGAAAAGCACCAAAAGGAATATGCTATTCAGGCCATATATATACAGCAGAAGTATTAAGAGCATAAAAACAAAACTTGTATTGTGAACTGGTTTTTTCTTGCTTATTGATATATCATATAAATCATGGATCGATTCATGTTAGCCGACCCCAAAATCTTTTGGGAATAAGGCATGGATGTTGTTGTTATATTGATTTATCATATAAATATAATCTCTATAAACTATACTGAGCTCCTCCGCCGTTATTGACGGCATTTATTTATCCCTCTCCTATGTACACAGATCCCACAATTGCTGATTGTCAATATGTTCGTGTAGTTTGTTGTTTTGTGCAGCTTTGATCATAACACTAAGATATTAAAGGAATATTATTGGTCTACTGGCATTACGTGAGCGTAATTCTTTTTCGATTTTTCAACAGAATTTTGGATCTCGGTGAACATCTTCACAGATGACTCTGCAAAGTTATTTAGCTTACTAAGGAAAAGAGCCATGCTTGTACGGAATTGATCATAATCAATTACCCATTCATCCAAATTAGTTGCATCTCCATTCGCGCCTTTCCCTTTGTTTTTCTCCTGCCGCGGTAAGAAATGGGCTGTTTCTGCTGCTAAAGCCTTCATAGCATCAGCGACTTCTTTCGTAGGCAAAACAGTGAACATGTCCAACCAGGTGCCGCATATCATATATATAGGTGGGCCGTAGTATCTGAGATTTGGTTGGTTTTGCACTCTTCTTTTCCTCTTGGATGATTGCTCTTTCATCGAAACACACTTCAACAGCCACTTGTTTATAGCTTCCATGTATGCCATTTGAGCACCAATCCACTTTGTAAAACTTGAAGATAGGGAAATCAACTCGTGCTCAAGATGGATGGTTGTTTGCCGGTGAGACTCTGAATCTATGGGTAGCTTTTTGTTTCCTGGTAAATGTGCTATCGAAATTATATGGAGCTGCATTGCGTGACAGTTGAGCATTTCCTCCCACATCTTCCTTAATCTGTCAATAAAAAAACATCAAATAAAACATTCCCAGCACGTCCCACCCGCATTTAGGGTCTGGGGAAGGTGAGATGTACTAGGATCTTGACACTACCCCCAGGAGTAGAAACTAGAAAGAATGTTTCAAGGAAGACTCCAGGCCTATGTTGCACGGAAACGTGAAAATCATAAGGAAACGGGAAACGGGAAACGTCAACTTTTGCTCAAAAAATGCTTATTTGGAGAGTTTCCAAAGAGTTTCCGAGAGTTTCCGAAACGGGAAACGTACTCTTTCCCAAGAGTTTCCGTGCTACATAGCTCCAGGCTATTGAAAAACTTAGGAAGTTTAGAAAAATATTACAATATTGAAACATCTTGAAAATTTTGGAAATTCTGCATTATCATTCATGACTGGCCTACACACACTAGTTGAGCCTCTTCCCGTGTGTACCGTACCCATCTCTTTGCAAAAAACAAGGGAAAGAAAGCATTTATACCCTTCAACTGACACCCCATCCCAACCCTACCCCCTACCCGCTCACCAATCATGTGGAGCTGTTAAAGTATCTCACATCTGTAATTTTTTAATATGTCACTACCTGATATGAGCATCTCCATTGCAATGAAGGGCACGGCATAGCATGAAAAGGATGGGCATATACTAATCAGGAAGCATAATTTCTCTCACTTTCTTTCCACGATTTTCAATATTTTTGGTAACTTTTTCCCCACAATGTCAAACGCAATGTCTAACTCTAGATATTGTGCTCAATATTGTGGAGAAAAATTCCTAAAAATATAGAGAAATGTGTAAACTAAGAAAGAAAAAATGTAGACTAAAAAAGAATTTTGTAATTATTATATTATTTGTGTCCATCTCTCACACCGTGTGTTACATCGGACATGCTAAGAGATGGGATTTGTAACCTTGTAGCCTAGGCTTTAAGGTCAAGAGCCATATACTCTGGCTCTTATATGATGTTGGGTTTATTTGGCTTATGTAGATATATATAAGGGTATGAACTTTTTGTGTAGCGAACCCCAAACTCTTTTGGGATTAAGGCTTGGATGTTGTTGTTTTATGTAGATATCAAAGGGTATGAACTTCTATTATCCATGCTCTTTACCAAAGAGAAGCTAACCAATTTAACTAGGGAGTGGAAAATGGTTAATAGAATAGGCATACCCTTCAATCAACTCCTCTAGCTGAGGTTGTAGTTCTTCATCCCTTAATTCCTCAATTTTCCTCGAGATAGTGTTTATTCTATGAATTGCAACACCAATTCTCGAATGCAGATCCTTCACAGCAGCTCGTGTTATATCAATTTTCTGTTGACTTTCTCCCAAAGATTCTATCTGTCTAAGCAGCTTCCGTTTTGCATCATATTCTACTCGAATAATCTCACAAGCCTTGACAAAGAAATGTCCAACAAAATGCTAAGCACGTTATGCTACAGATAAAATCGCTGTGCAAACTAATTTTAAATGATAAATTATTTCCCTCTAGCAACACGTGACATTTACACTATAAAGTGAATTAAAACAGATTATGTGTTTTAACATTTTAGTCACTACAGTTTCAAAGTTCAGACATTCCCAAGGCCACCTTGTCCATTTCAGTTATGTATAATTTTCATTAATCATGAACCGTGCTAATTTTGTGGTGGGATCCTTCCCCGGACCCTCGCCTTGCAAGGGCGCCAATGTGCACCGAGCTGCCCTATGAACCGTGCTATTTTTTATTTTGACTAAATGTTAGACCTGTACAAACGCGGGCCAGCCTGTTCATTTCGTCCAACACATCCATAAAAATGGGTAGTTTGTGGACATATATTCAGCCAACAGGCAGGGGCAGGCCCGCTGTCATTATGGACGAACTTGGGAAAAGTGTAGGCCCGTCCAGCCCAATAAGCACAATTCGGCCCTCACCAGTGGCGAAAATACAGTGATAGCCCAGCCCGGCCCAAGCCCGAGTCTGCTATTGTACCGGTCTACTAAATTTACTAATTGCAACTTGTTTGCGGCTTTATTTTGGGGACAAAACAAGTGTTTGAAACAGGATTCCTTTTTGGGACTGATGAAGTATAGTAGTATACCCACCTTGACTTCATCATAGAGTTTTTTCTCCCAAGCATGCAACCGGTCCAAGGTTGAGGCGTGACTTCCTGAGTTCATACAGAAGTTATCAAAGAGATTTTTGGTGTGTTCATCAGTTGAGTTCACACCTAGCAGGTTTCTTGATGAAGAAGAAAATGAAGTTGTGCGATGCCATGTCATATACTTGGGGGAACTTTGAGGCGCCTCTTCTTTCTCTGAAGAGAGATAAAAACAATGTTGACATTTTAAATAGGGCTTAGAGGGTAAAGATATTCAAAACAAGATAGGTAACTAAAGGAGATATCTTTACTGTGAACAAAAAGGATAATGGTTTATTATCAAACAAGGGGAAAACATTAATCCCTTTTTATTCCAAATGCTGTACTTCATTTGCGAAGGATCTTCCCCTAAAACATTTCATAAATATAAACTAATAAACTTATTAAAATTATAAATGTTATATCTCCTAGCCCAACATAATTCGGATTGAGGTGATGGCGATGGTTAAGTAAAACCAACAATTACAAAACACAGTATGCCATTATGGTGGAAAGCCCAACCAAATCCTCCACACAATAGAAAAGTAAGGGGCCTACCTTCTGGAACTTGGCTTGGATCTGCACCGCAAGAGAAACAAGACCTTAGCAGTGTCCTGGCAATTGAACCTCCTACATAAAACAGATATCCCCCATCAAATAGAGAGACCTTAGCTTTAAAATTCCATATTTATTTTGTCAGGAACTAAGTAACTCAGGATTTCTTCAAGTTCATAACAAAGCTCATATTCTTATAACAATTGTCAAAATGTAAATCCCGGTCAATCCCCTCACCCAACTTTGAAATTTCAACCCTAAAAAGTCTTCCGCAAACATGGCCCATAAATCACAAATGAAAAATAGTTATTGAAACTACGCATTCATGCAAAGAAGCTTAATATTCTGCACCATTGACATTAACGGTGCCAAGAAATTTAACGAAACAAACTACAACATGTACATGCACATATGTCTCTCTTTTATTGCTGGGAAGTAACTTGTTTTATTGAAAAGAAAATGACTTTCGCTGTAAATATTGGAAAATAAGTTGTTATGTTTATACTCTGTGTCTCCGTAATACAATGTTTAACCAAAGATAACAGAAAACATAAATCAGTTACAGGAAAATGACTCAAACAAGAAGTCATTCTCCACAAAATTTCAAAGGACCACAAAAAATGTTATCCTTTAAACACAGAAAAACCATTCCAGTAAAATGTTTTCCAATCTCAAATACAAGAAAATCTAGAAACATTTTTCAGGACAATATTTCCTAGGAAACAAATGGTGCCTAGAAAACATTTTCCAGTAAAACAAATTAGGTGTATACATGTAAGTAAGCTTCATGTATGTGGTTGAGTAAGAGAGTGTGAGTGTCTGAGAGAGAGAGAGAGAGAGATTACTTCTAGCACCAGGAATAATAGGGCGAAAATTAAATTTATTTGCTTCCAGCATCAGTGGAACCTCCCTTCCAGATTCAGATGCTTTTATAAACAGCCGTTCAATGTCTCTCATGCTAGAAAAAAAGTCCTTAGGTACAACCTTATTTTCAACACCATTTTCCTTGAGTACTGTCTTGGCATCATCTTCAACAGTGGCAACCCCTGAAAAAGTGGGTCCAAGTGGTGACAAATTAGGGGAACCACTTTTCTCCCCATCCACACCCTTCACTACCAATGCTACACTCTGATCATCAGCAGCAGATTCTTCCTTCGCCCTGTTGACATTATCAAACCTCCTAACCAGCGTCTCCATAGATGGATCATCAAACCCATCATCAGACTCGTGTGGCGAATCTCTTCCAGGTGACAAACCATTTTGTTGATCATCCTCTGACAGAGGAATTCCGCTGCCTTCCTCCCCGTTCTCTCTAATATGATCTTCAGATGTGTGTCCAAGACCAAAAAAGTCCCAAGGAGGTGTATTAAATGGTGATGTTTCGTGCTTTTCTGTGGAATGAGGTGTCGAGTTCTGAGGAGTGAGTGAAGTAACAGTGACAGTGACTGGAACAGCGGGGTTTTCTTCAACTTTCTTTGAGAAGGTACCGCTAAATTTCATGGGATGTGCGTTGTATCTCGTGGAGGTTGGGGGTGAAGGAGACGGCAATGCATTCTCACTGCTATCCGCATGGTGTGATGATTTAGGCACAGGAGAGAATGAGAATTGGGAAAGGGATCTTTCAGTTGAAGTATAGATTGAAGATTCAAACTGAGCTTCGGGTTCGACAAATTTCCTCAAAGCATTTCCTGTTATTTTCAAAGAATCTATATAAGCAACATGAGTAGCTGCCAAAGAACACCGTCCATCAAGTGCTTGTCTGACAATCTTTTTCCTGTCTCGGCATATCTGTAAGGCCTTATCTTCTTCAGCCCTAGAATTAGAAGTCCCCATTGAAGTCTCCACAACCCAACTTTCACAATTATTTAAGATCAGTTTATCTATGCGCCAAATCTACACATGCATTCTTCAAAGTTCCAATGGCTCTGTCTCAAATTAAAAGTCCTAATTACCAAAAAAGAATTTAGCATGTCCAGGGATTGATATAATACAAGAGAATGATAGTGATAAATGATCACCCAAGAATTGAAAAAAAAAACTTAATTGAACCAAAACATCATACAGATCAAACAAGAATTTAGGTAAAACAAAGTTGAACCTAAAATCAGACAAAGCAATATTCTAATTAAGACAGGGGAATTAGGACTGAAGGAAGAAAACTGTACAAAGTTCCTAACAATTATAGAGAGAACATGGAACAATTGAGTTCCTAACAATTATACCAAGATTCCAATAAAAGTAAATAAATATTAGCCCAAATTGAATAAAAATCACAAAGAAAAACATCAAATTAATGAAGAGATGAAGACCTAACAATTATAGAGAGAACATGGAACAATTGAGGAGCTGATCATCTGATATATAAATTCAAGAGACAAAAATGGTAAATTTGAGCACCAAAGAAACTGAAAAAACGAATATGAGATCTGGTGGCAGTACCTGAACGATGGAGCTGGAGAAGATCTTGGATTTTAGTGAAGAGCCCGGTACGGGAAAAAAAATGACCAGCCGACAAGAATAGCTACACAGAGAAGTTGGGGACCTATGGAGATGCGGGATTCTATCTATACAGCATGCAAGTAAAGTCTGAGACTCCTGAGAGATGAAGGGGAAAGAGTAGCCATCGCAGTCCATGCAGAAGGTATGAGGAAACAGCTGAGAGGAAGAAAGCTGAGTTAAGGAGGTGATGGCTGAAATGTTGACTCGTGGGCCCACTCTTTCAATCGCAGTAACTTTACATTAAACTCTCAAAGTGCGTGATCTATCTTGGGATGATCACTTGATTCTTTCCGCTTTTCCGAAAGAAAATTCTCCCTTTGAAAGAAAAGAGATTGAAAAAAAGAAAATTTACTTGATCCCGCCTTAAAGAGTTCGTAAACTTTGTCAATTTAGAGTTCATATCGTCAATAGAATTACTTCTCTTTTTTATAGGATAGAATTACTTCTCATTCTTTGATTTTGATTACTTATTTTTATTAAATTAAAATTTATTTTTACATTTCAGTAAATCTTTTAGATCATTTGTAGGGGTGGTAGAATGGGATCAAGATTGTTAAAAATGTATATACTCCGCATCAAGGATGTTTTTATCAAACTAGATTTAAACATATTAGGTCAGATCAGACCAGACTTAAATAGATCAAATCAGACAAGATTTCGACAGTTAGTCCTTTTGTTCCATTTTTATGTTCTCATTTTCCTTTTATGGATGTCCCAGGTAAAGGTTCTCATTTCTATCGTAGAAAAACAAATAGCACTCTTAAATGGCAATTTCATTATCAAATATTAAAAATAATATATCTATAACATCACAACTATTGTCACGACCCAGATCGCATCTGAGCGCGTGTACAACCACCATATGACCAAGTCACGTCACTCGCAAGTCAACGTGGCTTAATCACACTAGGCATCTATGAACATAATTCATCCATACTCAGTAGTAAACATACATAACAACATCACATTTAAACCAATGAATAGCGGAAATATTCAACGGTAAAGCACAGGCCACAACCGGCCAAAACATGGGCTCGCAAGCCCAAAATAGTTTATAGTAAATCAAATATCCATGAGCAAGTGTTTGGTAGTTTGAAAGGAAATAAGGAAGCACGAACCACGTCTTCCTTGAATTGACTTCACCCGTAAGAAGGTGCAGGTAGTAAGCCCTAGCTTCAACCTGAAAATGGTGGGGGCCCGAAGGGGTCAATACAAGTACCGAGCGAGTGGCAAGCTAAATGTAGCATATAACTAACATTTCAAGTATAAGACCCAAACATAGGGTGATACATACGCGTATAGTATCTTCCCCCAAGTTATAAAATACATATCAGTATATATATACACTTGGAAATATCTGACCCGTAGCTCATTGTTTATTTGGGAAATACCCGACCCGTAGGTCATTGTTTCGAGCAATTCAAACATTTGGATGGTCACGAAGGATAAGGTCAGTCCATATGCCACTTTGAGTTCTTTTTCTTTTTCACCGGTGATGTCGGTGTTGTAAGAGTACTTCCTCCCCCTTGGTCGTTTCCCCAAGGATGGGCTTGGTTGCCAGTCGTATTATATTGGCAGGTGGCCCGATCATGCCTAGCCTGACGTTTACGTTCTTTCCTCCGCCACCCCTTTTCGTAACACTCATATACTCCCACAACTCGGTCCGCGTCATTCTTCCCGTCATTGATGCAAAAATCTCCCTTGTCGTATGGGATCTTCTCGCGTCCCGTCTCTTGGACAATAGTCCTATCATTCCTCCTGGTGTTCATGTTACACACCGAGTCCACGCGATCATCACTTGCCAACTAGCCTTGGCCGCTCTTACGACCCCCATGACCCATTACTCTCCCCCTTAAGGCTTGTGACACAGTGCGGCTAGCCTCAAGGTAAGCTACCGACACTTGTCCCCTAGGGTCATTTCTTGTTGGCATGCGTCTACCCTTCATTTCTACAAGGGAATTTGAACGAGTCGTTAGACTCCAATCAACGTCAATTGACGGAAAATGCTATAGACACATATTGGCCCAAGTCACCACCATACATCTTAACAACTAGAGACCTTGCAACCTACGTAACAATAGTCCTATAAACGCCAAAATACAATGCTCATGGTTTTTCGGTCAAACTTGTTTTGAAAAATCTCTTGTGAGATGTTGCTTACATAGTTTAGAACTGAGATGGATCTGATACCACTTAATTGTCACGCCCCAGACCACATCTGAACGCGTGTACAACCGCCGTATGACTAAGTGACGTCACTCGCAAGTCAACATGGCTTAATCACACTAGGCGTCTATTAACATAATCCATCCTTACTCAGTAGTAAACATACATAACAACATCACATTTAAACCAATGAATAGCGGAAATATTCAACGGTAAAGCACGGGCCACAACCGGCCAAAACATGGGCTCGCAAGCCCAAAATAGTTTGTAGTAAATCAAATATCCATGAGCAAGTGTTTGGTAGTTTGAAAGTAAATAAGGAAGCATGAACCACGTCTTCCTTGAATTGACTTCACCCGTAAGAAGGTGCAGGTAGCAAGACCTAGCTTCAACCTAAAAATGGTGGGCCCCCTGAAGGGGTCAGTAAAAGTACCGAGCGAGTAGCAAACTAAATGTAGCATAACTAACGTTTTAAGTATAAGACCCAAACATAGGGTGATACATACGCGTATAGTACTTTCCCTCAAGTTATAAAATACATATCAGTATATACATACACTTGGAAATACCCGATCCGTAGGTCATTGTTTATTTGGGAAAATCATAGTAGTCAATATCCCTGACTTAAATCCCAACCCACCCATATACCTATGAGTGTATAGGACTCCTCCTTGCCCTAAACAATTCTTATTCTGAGTTTTTAGGACAGTACCGTCGTCCCCAGGGTCTCCACCCTTTATACATTTGAGGTTTGAGGACAGTACCGTCATCCCTGGGTCTCCACCGTTTATACATTTGAGGTTTGAGGACAATACCATCGTCCCTGGGTCTCCACCATCTATATACTGAGTTTTGAGGACACTACTGTCGTCCCTGGGTCTCCACCGTTTACACATTTGAGGTTTGAGGACAGTACTGTCATCCCTGGGTCTCCACCGTTTATATACTGAGTTTTGAGGACAGTACTGTCGTCCCTAAGTTCTCCATCATCTTACTTTCATTTCTATGATCTACCGCTTATCATACATAGATAGGGTCTATATCATAATCATTTATCAAGGCTAAACCAAGTCTTAGAGTTTAATCATTAGATATCAAACTTGACATTTTAATATCATATTCCATGCAATTCCATGCACAATATACTTATATAGCATGGCTGGGGTTAATCCCCTTCAAATCGGGCCCCGATACGCGTTTTCGGCGAAGACGAAAATTGGGGCAGTAGCTTAACCGGTGTCGGTCATATCCTATACCCGGCTCCGGGTATGTGTCAATTTTCCCAGACCAGCCAGGCAGTAGCATAACCGGCGCCAGTTCGGCCATATGGCCGGTGCCGGTTCACTGTCTACCCAACGGCGGCGGTCCGTTGACCCGCCCCGAATGATCTCTGATCGGTCCGAAACTTTTATAAAACATGTATTGGGTCTTAAACAACCATAATATCCTCTTTTAACCTTCCAAAACATCACATATGATTTTATACACATTTTATACTTTTATCATGCATAATCATGTAGTATTATTCGCATAAGCCTAATTACCTTGGCAAATCACATGCTTAAACTCCTTTAAACATCATTATGAATACTTATAACATTTCTTTAGGTAATCTTACACTTAACCCAGGAGTTGAGAGACATTAAGCCATGCACTCACCTCGAATGAGCTTTATAAAGTTCTACCCTCCTCGGTTGAACTCCAGTGAAACTCTGGCGAACTTTGGATGAACTCCGGTGATCACTCCGGCGACCCTTTCAACTCTGAGAAAGTTCTAGGAATACCTTAGACAAGTTTCTAACAAGGTTTTATCATCATAAAACCCATATCAATATAAATAACCTTTAAAAGGTCATTTTCCAGCGAACTGGTCACTTTGGCTCCTAAGTCCGTTCTTGGACTTAGAACTACCTTTTAACCCCTCATTCTACATTTCTAAACATGTAGAACAATCCTAGGGTTCCTCCATATGCTAAGTAAGTCTTATGATAGACAAAAAGTAGAGGAAAAGTTATTATGAGGTCATTACCTTAATCTTTCACATTTTTCCTAACTTTTTCCTTCTTTATTCCACCTCCTTGGACCTCTATTGCTTGAGCTCGAATTGCAGCAATGGAATGGTTTGGAGAGATCTTCTTCCCTCTTTCTTGGTGGCTTGGTCGAATGCAATGATGAGGATGGAGGGAGATAGGTTCATTTTGTCTCATTTAGCCAATGAATGAGAGAGAGACTCATTTGGTGTCTCTAAATGTCTCCCCATCCCATCACTTGAACTCCTAGCTCTCAATTAGTCAATTTGAGCACACAAAAACGTGGGGTGGCCCCATTCATATGGGCAGTCATCCCATTATGTCATAATGTGTGCAATTGGCCCCGAAAGTTGAATTTCTCAGACTGTTTTAATTATATTTTATTTTATCGGGCCAAATAAAATATATATGTTGGGTTAATGGTCCAACAAGGATTTGTCCATAAGCCCTAAGGGGCCACGCTACGAACGTCCCTGGAAACATAAGCTAACGGGCGCGGTACCTAGGGGCACCTGGGTTAAGGCGACATACGTCCCCAACAGGACGTCAAGGCCCAATCATACATTAAGGCGACGTACGTCCCCAACAGGACGCCAAGGCCCAATCATACGTTAAGGCGCGTACGTCCCCAACACGGTCCGCCAAGGCCCAATCATACGTTAAGGCAACGTATGTCCCCAACAATACAAAGACCAAGAGGACAATAGGCGACAGAGGACGCCCGTTGTTTATGGGACGAACGTCCCCATAGCCCAAGCCAACTGGGAAGCCTTTCCTTGGGTCGTGGCGAGGTTCGTCCCCAACAGGACCAGCCCACATCATCAAGGCTCAAGGGCAGCGCGAGACGTCCGTCCGACACAGCATAGCACAGCAAGCAACGGTCACATCCTGACTGTTGATATGAACAGTACGGCGGATGAAACGTCTAATTCATTATGTCCTGCGCACACT